ATATATATATATATATACTCATTATATACGAAAATGTAAACAACAAGATGAGAATGTGTGTGAGAGGTGATGGGCACAGCTGAAGATTCGTTACATGCATACCTGTAATTAAATATATATATAAAATATTATTAAAGTAATAAAAATTAAAATGTATTTTATTTTTTAGGTTAATTTTTTTTTGTATCTTGAAATTGTTAAAAAAAAAAAATAGTATTTTTTCATCCATTGTTCTATTATATTCTATCTACACTATTCATGTGTGTCTGTGTGTGTGTTTGTAAGAATGTATAAAGGGGATGTATGAACAAGTTTAAACCTTTTCCCACAGGAAGGGACTAGCGGGTCACCCTACTCGTCCTTGAAATACCATTGAATCGGCGAGTTCCATGAATGAAGTAATAATTCCCCTACCCTATCCCCCTCCCCTCCTCTACTTCACCCCTTGAAATCTTTTTTATGTATGCACTAACACTACTAGATCAAACATTGACGTTTTCCTTATATTGCGCAGTATCTAAATAAATAACGCAATATTTAATTTGAAATGAATTTTTATCATTAGAGATTTTCTTTGCTTTTTTTTTTTTTTGAACAACTCAAATAAACAACTGTTGTCCATTTTATAAATCGAATTCACCGCACCAATAATTTGTTGTTGTTGTTGTTGCTAACAAGGGTGTGATAAATATCTAAAGAATATCTTAGCAAGATTATAATCGCTAATATTTAATTATTTAAAATGGAAAAATTTAATTGAAAGTATTATACGTACAATTTCGTAACCACTGGATTTTATTTTGATGAATAAATTTGTAGAAAAGTTTGATTTCCAAATGGATTCATTTAGAAAAAAAAAAAAACAAAAAAAAGAAATTAAAGAAAGCAATAATTAAAATAATTAAATAATAAAGAAATTAGGATATATTTACCTATGCAGATCAATTAAGAAGATAAATAGTGTTGAACACAATATACGAAATCTTTTTTACTGTTATATATTTGTAATTTTATAGAGGTTACCTGTATACATACGTAGTAATCTTCTTCGAACGCACAAAACACGCGCATGCGCGTGAACGCAAAATATAATTAATAAGTGCCGCGAAATTTAAAGACAAATTTTATTTGATAAAGGTTTAATTATTTGTTTTGCAAAATGATAAAAATTTAATTTATACAAAATTAAACTTGAAAAACAAAATCTGTATATATAAAGAATTTTTGTATTATTAGCTAAAATCTACAATCGTACGAAAAAGTGATTGCAACTTAGGCCGCGAAATTTGAAATTTAAATATTGTCATAAATAAAATTAATAAATATATGAGTGTTAAAATATTACAATTGAAAAAGAATTAGGATATTTTCTTGGGGGTTTTTTTTTTTCAATAATATGAACTGTACATTAAAGTTGTGTTAGGTAACTGATATAATTCATAAAGGTACATATTTCAATTAACAATATATATTTTTCTTACATATAATTTTATGTTAACACATTATGTGCAAGAAAGTTATTAATATCTTTTGCATAAGACACAATTTAATTATCAAATTTTAATAAAAATCTACTTTCAAACGAATAACATTTCTTTTTCTAAACATTGCGTCTCTCTTTTGAAACTTCAACAAATTTCTATCGTCTAGGAGTATCACAAAAAATATATAAAAAAAAAAGATTCGCACAAAATGTGTTAATACTACAAGCTTTAATTTTTTTCTTTTATCTTCATATCTATATATATTTTTTTGTGTATATATATACACTGCTTTTAATTTTATCCTTAATAGCTAAGTCGATGATTATTTTAATAAATGTATTAATATAAGGTAAAGAAATATAATATTATTCAAAAATAACAATACCTACATCATTAGAATTTGCAGTAATAAGAAATATAATTCTCTCTCTTACCCTGTTTAACCCCTTAAGCAGCACGCTCGAGTTAACTCGAACGCAACTAACTAAACTTAATTACACTAAGCGACGTATTATTTTATATTTCTATAATTTTTTACACTTAAATATAATAGAAAATTGAAAATAAGAATGTGAAAGCAAAGAAAAAGAATCGTTTTTTTTCGAAATAGTAATTCGAAAAGAAAGATTAAAAAGTCGACGTACGTGTAATATTGCAATATTTAGCTCTTTTCTCTGCATTGTGGAACAAAATCCAAAACTAACATAAAAATATTGATTATTTTTGTATTTTTTTCCCTTTTTTTTTTGTCAAAACAATATTCTAAACTATGTTTTTATGCAAAAAAAAAAAAAAAAAGATTTATTTTGGCCGTTTTTTTTTTCAAAATCATTGCTGCTTAAGAGGATTAATATTGATATAAATTAAACGAAAAACATCGGATTTCTTTCTCTTAATATTACATTTGTTTTTCCCTGCTCACGCTCCAAATCCTCTAAACGAATGGTAACGCTACAAAATCAGATTAAACATTGAATCATTTTTACAAATACATTCCTATTATATATATATCATTATATTACTTACTTAGTTATAAGTGCTCTAGCGCGAAATGCTGCTAAATGGGCATAATATGTTGGTGCCGGATAACTAACCGTTCTTGGACACCGTACATATATATGACACAAATAATATGTAAGTTGTTCTATCTCATTCTCACTCATATTTATTTCATTATATACGCATTTATATTTGGTAGGTCGTGCAGTCCCCTTAAATAAAATAACATAACATAATATATAATATTTATTTAAAAGAATAATCACATTTGAGATTAATGTTGTATTGGATAATTTACCTGAATGCTTGCATGTGATACGAGATAAAAATCAATATGACTGGGATGTGTAATATGTGTGTCTACTATTGTACCAGCTTGTACATTAAAATTTCTATCATCTGAGTTATGTTTCGACGTAGGAAAAAATCGTATATGATGTCTTTTTTGCACCACAAGAAAAGTAATTGGTGGTAGTTGCGATTTATTTTTATATAACGTACGAAATGCTTTTTTAAAAGCTGGTATTTCAATTTCCAACACATGAAGAAGTTGTCCATCACTTACACCATCGCTATATATACAAATAACAAATAAAAATATTTCTTAATATAACATTATAACCAGTTAGATAAAGTTTAATAAATTAATTTAATAAATTCTATTATATATTAAGTCAATATTATTTTTGAATAAGTTTACGTACCGAAAAACGATAACATGTGTTGGTAAGTCTCCTACATATTTTTTATATTCCATAAATAGTTTTTCTACAATATCCTTAAGATCAGTAATCATTTCTTGTCTTGGTGGTTGCAAGCGAATCTCAACTGAATATTTACAACCATCTATATCACAACTTGCTGTAACCTTTATTATAATAAAATGTATTATACGTGTAATAAAATATTGTAATTTAAAATTTGAAAGAAATTTATATAAGTAATATTTACTGCAGCTATAGAAGGTGAGTCGAAAGCCTCTGGAGATGGATGCGTTACATCGGCACCGATCAAAATAGTCCGTTGTTTAGCAAGAACTTTAGGTCTGATAAAAGAAAAATGGTAGTAAATACAATAATCCCGAACACAATATATTATAATATAATTCTCTAGAAAATATACGAGAAATATGATAGTTTTATTATTAATATAAAATGCTATACCTATTCATAAAACAATGATTTATTCCACCAAGTTTAGAATTAATTTTCAAAATGATATTTCCAATAGTTGATTCATTGCATTTATATTTAACAGTGTTAGATTTGACACACTGTGTTAGTATACCTAATTTTAATTCCGTATATTGCTTCACCTTACCTTCAAAAATCAATAATATACAATTATAAAAATATCTTTTAATAAATCGAACGAATGAATAATTTTTTGTAAATTAAATCAATTCCTTACTATATATGTCATGGACGTCTGGTATAATAACTATAACGAGTTTTACTTCTCCACTGTCGGCTAATTCCCTAAAATATTGTAAAATTTCGCGGTCCCTTCTGACATCAATATTTTTCACATTTTTTGTCTTACTTATTGTCAAACCATGGAATTCTCCTTAAATAAAAAAAAAAACAATATTAAAACATTTACTTCATTTTCATGATCTTTCTTATGGCAAAAAGAAAAAAGAAGTGATAAACAAAGAAAAATTGATTAAACGGACAATCAAAAAAATGTTTATAGAGTCTAATTTACAATAGAAAACAAAAATTATTGCAGAATTTCATTTTCATTCAACACTCTTACATTCAATCAATACTTTCAGTGTTAAGATTGTTAAATAACTGTCAGTATTGATATGTACTTACCAATATGCTTTATCTTTTCAATAAAGAAATTCACTTCACCGGAATTTAGGTTTCTTATATTTAAATTTAAAACCGCCCATTCATGACTTTCTAATTTTGCTGGTATGGACATTTGTGCAGCCTTCCAAGATCCCTTCTTCGGATACACAATAGAATTTCTATATTGCAATTCAGGAGCGTCTAATACTCTAGCCGGAACTATTTCAAAATCTGGTTTTATTGCAAGATTGAATTCATTTTTTAGAGTTGGATGTTCATTCATTTGCAAAGCACGAAACTGCAATTATTATTATTATGTTATAAAATAAGATACATATATATACATAAAACATATGCAAGTAAAATACTTACACCGTCCATTATCTTTTTTTTGCGTACATCAGTACTAGTTGCTGCATATTTTACCATGTTTCTAGTTTGAATATCGAGCAATTTTTTTTTGTCTGCTTGTCCAGCTACTATATTACAGAGCTGAAATTTTTTGAAACATATGATGATATGATTTCACTCTCAATTTAATTTAATTTAATATTATTTGTCTATAAATTTAATAATAAATAAATATATTATTTTTATTAGGTCGTTCAGAAAGTAATTTCATTTTTTCAAAGGAAAATAACAGATGATTTTGTCATATTTATAATCCAAAACATATTGGAAGTGTTTTTTTTTTCTTAACACATTGACAGCCGGCCCCGCGAAAACGCGGGTTTCTAAGTTTGTCGCTTGAGTAGCTGCCCCACGATGATGTGGATTTTTTTTGCTGGTATGAGTGTCTTACACATCGATTTGTACTTACTTGCCATGGTTACGCTGATCTTTTTGGCTAATCAGTGATCAGAAACAAGTGAATAAGGCCGGCGTTCAGGGTTTAAGTGGCCGATACGTTGCCGACGCTCAGGCTTTAAATGTCTCTTAGGTCGCCGGCTGGCAATGTGTTAAATTTCAAGTGATATTTTGAGAGATTTAGAATAAAATGAAATATCTGTAAACATGATTAATAAAATTTCTGTACAAGAAATGAAATGACTTTTCAAACAAACTTATGTGTTATAAAAGAAGACATTAAATTTACTTCTGGAGGTACATATATCTTCTTGTCTTGTGAACCTATCCACAAGCATGGCCAATCAGGATATTGTATAATATATCTCTTCTCATCTCTGAAATAATCCTCGACGGTACATAACGTTCCATCAGAACGTTTAAATGTACAAGTCCTTGGAGTTTGTTCTATCAAACCGCGTGCTATATGTGTTCTTTTAGATGCCGATATTCTTGGTATCTCATAATGAACTTTTAATCCACTTAAGAATTTGTTTATACTATCTTTATTTCTGAATACATCAGCAGAAGTAATTCTGTCATACGATGGATTATCACGTTTATTAATAATGTCCTTTATCGTCTTAATGACGCATTGAGAAAATGGAACTCCCTTATGTGCCACTAAATAATTACATAAAACATATTTTATATACATATACAAATTTTAAAGAAAAATCTTTTACTAATATATATTATTATACATTACCATCTATATTTAAATAAGGTTTCCATCCTAGAACAGCAGATTGAAATTGTCCTATCCATGCTGTCATGCCACCCGACAAATCTAGGTTTTCTACCTTTGGTTTCCAAAATATTGATCTTCCAAGCTGTTAAAATACGTACGAATTGTAAAAACAATAATCTATTTTGATGAGATAATAGAAAAGAAGAAAACAAAAAATACATAATGTGGTAAAATTTACATTACTGACACATGATCTAAGAAAGAACAATACATTTATAAACGGTGAAGTAAAAAGGAAAAATTTAGCGAAATAAGATTGTTTAGGAAAAAAGAAAAATGTATTAATAAATAATAAAAGAAGAAAATTTGGGGAAAGAAAAATGAATAAGATATATAAATCGTACCAAGAAAATTAGTCAACCTTGTTCAACTTTGCCTAAAGGAAACTAGGGGTAAAGTGAGGTTAGATAACCAAATGTCGGAAGATTTTAATATCCATAGCGGGTTAAAACAGGGGGACGCATTGTCACCCCTTTTGTTTAATTTAGTACTGGAATTCGCTGTCAAAGAACTGCAGAAAAGTAAAGATGGTCTACAGTTGAACGGGACAACACAATTGTTGACATACGCGGACGATATTGCTTTGTTAGGGACAATGAAGCGGCATTAATTAATAACGCAAAAATATTAATAGATAATGCTAAAGATATTGGACTGCAAATAAGCGCGGAAAAAACCAAATATATGGTAACCGATAGAGTTCAGAATAGTCCTAGCACTGGATCTTTGGTCGTTCGGGATAAAACTTCTGAGCGGGTCAGCAACTTTAGGTATTTAGGATCGATCATAAACCAGACGAACGAAATTAACGAAGAACTTAAGAAAAGAATAAATCTAGGCAACTCATGTTTTTATTCGGTTAACAAATTACTCAGCTCGCGGTTGCTGTCTAGGCGATTAAAAATCAGGATATACAGGACAATCATCCTGCCGGTAGTCCTTTATGGTAGCGAATCGTGGTCGCTTACGTTACAGGACGAAAATAAATTTAGGGTTTTCGAAAACAAAGTTCTTCATAAAATCTTCGGTGCAAAACGCGATGAGGAAAAGGACGAATGGAGAAAACTCCATAACGTTGAAGTGCATCGATTGTACAACAAACCGGACATTATCAACGTCGTAAAATCACGCCGATTAAGATGGGCTCTGGTCACGTGGCGCGGTGCATGGGGGAGGATCGAACGGCGCACAAAATATTGGTCGGTATACCAAACGGGAAAAGACCACTAGGTAGACCAAGACGTAGATGGGAGGATAATATTAGAAGGGATGGAAAGATCGCGCTCAGGGTCAGGAATAATGGCGGGATTTGGTATTTGCGGCAATGAACTTTCGAGTTCCTAATGCCAGTTAATAGTAATAATAATATACATCAGAATCAGTAACGTTCACGGATAATGTTTTAAAGAATTGAGACATAGGGACGAGAATTAGTATTTGCGATAATGAACTTTCGAGTTTTTAACACAAATGTGAATAATAATAATAATAATAATAATAATAATAATAATAATAATAATAATAATAATAATAATAATAATAATAATAATAATAAATAATTAATTCCCAATTCTATTAAATACGTAAGATAAAAAGAAATACTTGTTTTGCGTACTGGTATGTTATATGCCGTAGGTCCATGACGTAAGATGACATCAAGCGCTTGTATTCCAGCTTGAGTTCCCAATGTTTCAGAAAAACCAGGTCTAACAGCTTTCAAAAATGAAAGATCTAGACTTGCACTCTTTGTTAATTCAATTGTAAATGTTTTAGATCTACCTTCATCATCAACATCAACAGTTCCGTTAATCTAAATTGAAGAAAAATATTTGTAGAGGATTAATTTCATCATTTTGTACATTTCATTTTATATACTTACATAATTACCAAATGGTAAATCCTGTGCACTATAAGCAATCTTATTCCCATCATATGCGGGATATCGTAATGGAAAATATGTTTGTCTGAATTTTTCGAAAGCTCTTCTCATGAATGCTTTGGGCTTGTCGGGGTTAATATTTACATCGTACTGAGTAATATTTGTTTTAAAATTCTTGAATTCAAATGACATCATATTGACTTCAACCTTTATGTGTCGGCCAAGTGTTCCACATTCCATAGGGTTCTTTCTTACAGGTATATCATTAAGAACTTGTTGTTGTTGTGTTAATCTTTTCGGTGATGGAGATGATGCTTGCATTGGTGATAATGGTAATGGAAATGTTGTAGATGCTAATGATGTTAATGGTGTTGGTGGTGTTGATATTGTTGATAGTGTTGATAGCGTTGATGGTGTTGATGGTGACGACAATGATTGTGGCTTAGAATCTTTTTGTGGAGCCTAAAAAATATTTATATATTCATGTATAACAAAAATAATACAAATGTAATATTATCTACACTATAATATACTTCCTGCTTGGATAGAGGAATTAATCAAATATTAACGGAACATACCTTAAGAGGTTGTTGTTGATGTTGATGTTGCTGTTGTCGTGGCCATTGTTGTTGATGTTGCTGTTGTCGTGGCCATTGTTGTTGTTGTTGCTGTTGTTGTGGCCATTGTTGTTGTTGTTGCTGTTGTTGTGGTGGTTGTTGTCGTGGCCATTGTTGTTGCTGTTGTTGTGGTTGTTGTTGTGGCCATTGTTTTTGTTGTTGTTGTGGTTGTTGTGGCCGTTGTTGTTGTTGTGGTTGTTGTTGTGGCCATTGTTTTTGCTGTTGTTGTTGTTGTGGTTGTTGTGGTGGTGGTGGTTGTTGTTGCTGTTGTTGTTGTGGTTGTTGTGGTGGTGGTGGTGGTTGTTGTTGCTGTTGTTGTTGTGGTTGTTGCTGTATATTTTTAGGCCATCCTACTTTTTCAACTTCACCTTGGTCCACAGCTCGACCTCGACCTCGACCTCGACCTCGACCTCGACCTTGATCTTTACCTTTAACCTCTTGAGTTGGCCAGTTCTCAGATGACATCGATGGAGCTTGTGCCATTGATGAGGCTTGTGGCTTCGATGTTGGCTGTGGCATCGATGAAGCTTGCGAAGAATTTTGTGACGATGATGTCATTTTCAATGGTACTGCCCATCTGTTGACAACTGGATTTGATACTTGTGATGTTGATGGAGTTTGTGACCCTGGTGGAGCTTGGGATGTCGATAGAGCATAGGATTTCGGTGCAGCATGGGATGTCAGTGGAGCTTGGGACGTTGATAGAGGTTGGGACGTTGATGGAGGTTGGGACGTTGATGGAGGTTGGGACACCGATGGAGTTTCTGGCTCCGATAAGGGCTTTCGTTTTGAAGTATTAGATGATTCTGGATTTTGGTTTTGAGAATTTCTCCCTACAAAATAATCCATATTGAATACTTTTCTATAAAATATTGATACGAAACTAATTATCCGATTAAAAATAAATACAAAATTAATGAAATATTACGTACCTTTCTTTTTACCCATTATTGATATGGAATATAAAACTTACTTTATATTACTTAATTAAATCAGTATTTTTCAAATTACAATGTATTTTAACGTATTCACTCAAATTTACTTTACATCCAATATGGCGTGTTGGAAATGTAAAACTGCGCATTATTTCACATGGAATCACTTTCTACAAAATATCGATGCGGGAAATTACCAAATTATTCTCAGTCAGTAAGGTTAGTACACATATAGATTACATTATATTTCATATTTCTAAACTAGCCTTAAAATTCAAACTAATGGGGATTTATAGAGTTTGTCCCAAATTTTACTGGATACTGATTGGTCTATTTGTCTTGTATATATTCAAAGATGAACCAATCCACAATCTATAATCCTGTGAGGTTAAACTAAACATATATAAAAAAAATATTCTGTGGCAAAAAAGATGATTTCACGAGATTTTAAGTAAAATTCCACTTTATTCAATTTTCCTTTCTATTTTACACTCTCTACTATGCTCAACCGTAATTTTATTAGCAATGCACCTTTAAAAAAAAGTAAGTCTTAAGTCAAGTTACCAATAGTCGTAGGTCAATTATCACTCGTAATGATACCGATAGATGGCATTTGTCCATGGCTAATGTAGAGCACTATAGAGATGAGTACTCTCATCCGCCATTTTAACTCCTCGAGTGAGCGGCAGTTTTAAAAAAACGTATGTAGTGAGTGTTAGTCTGTAGGTTTTATCGTTATTTTTTGCAATTTTTTTAATTATTTGTGAATGAATGAAGAAGAAATTTTATTGAAATCGTTTAATAGTCATTTAATAGTCGTGAACAACTATTAATATCTGTCTGAAAACATATTGAAAAATACATTTACAATAAAAATTTCTAAGCTCGCTACAAAGATTTTTGGGCTTTGTCTAGCAAAAATTGAAGGTATATTTATTCTTTTTGTATATAAATAGAACGATCATAGTATTGTAAAGTTTACAATTTCTTATTTTAACGCTTGCTTGTAATAACCATCCAGTATTGGCTGCAAATAAGACTGTTGAACCTCCAGTAAAAAAGCTACAAACAAGTGATACTCAGTTTTGTGTGCAAACATTTTTAATTGATGAGTTTAGCAATTGGATTTCTCGTTATGATGCAAATAGCATCTTTTATTTAGCTGGCAGCACAACTAATGCTGTAGCCAAACGTGTTTGTAGAAATTGTGTGCAATTTTTGACATCTTCAAATTTGCCAAATATAGATTTTATAAAAAAAGCCAAGTATTACACCAAAGGGTTAAACAAAGGTGGTTTAAAGGAACCATGTATGGAAACTTATAATTTAATTTTACATTGTGAATATTATTTCACTTTGTACCAAGATGTGATAATTAGAAATAGTAACTGTGATTTATTAAAAGTATTATTTGAGAAAATGAACATTAATTTTCCAAATTGTTGCTGTGTTAAGTACAAAATAATTAAACATTTTTTCAATGTTCCTTAGTATTGCGTGAAAAACTATTATGAGAACTGCAAACGTCATACCAAAGTGTATGGATCTGCGACTATGAAATGAAGAGTTTTAAACATTTAATTTATGCATTTGCTGCACATATATTGTGCATTGTTAATAATGATGTTAATTTTATTATTTATAATTTTATGATATGTTTACAACGGAACAAATGAATAAATAAATATAGATATATTAATATAAATGATACAAATTTATTTTATTAAAAACAACGACGAGAAGAAAGCTTTAAGAATTTTTTCAATAATAAACAATATTACTAACGATCAGTGATCCCAGAGACTTTAGTTCGTTTGATCGACACAGGGGCGTAAAATTATCGCACGCGGCAAGAAAATTATCGTACGACCCGGGAAAATTTGAAATCCGACAAAAATCCAACAATCTCGGACACAATTTTTTTTTTTTTTTTTTTAGTCATCAAGTTCAAAATCTTATCATGAAAACGATGAAAACGACGGTCCACAAGGAGATGGAACACCGGATCGTATACGGATCATACGTGGTGGTGGCAGTGCTGTCAGATCGTGGGTAAATCTTACCCTCTCCCTGTGCCACTGGGATTGCACACAATGAAAGTTTTCCATGTCCGTGTGTTTGGGATTTCGAGGAAAGCCGAGTGTAACCGAAGTTGGCGGTTGGCCACGAAGTGGCACATTATGAAAGCGACTCGTGTCCATGTGTTCGGACGACACGAGTCGCTTTCATAGTGTGCCACTCTGGCGTGCCCGCCAACTTCGGTTACACTCGACTTCTTTCGACATCCCAAACACACGGACATGGAWAACTTTMATTRTGKGCAATCCCAGTGGCACAGGGAGAGGGTAAGATTTACCCACGATCTGACAGCACTGGGTGGTGGTAGTAGTGGTGGTTGGGATGGTAGGGGTGGCGGTGGTAGTGGTGGGGGTGCACCTTTCCAAAATTTGTTGACTAAAAAAAGAAAAAGGTCATCAAGTTTTGAAATTCCAAATGGATCGTACGCCACGAATTTTGGATCGTACATGCCCTCAAATTATCGTACGCGTACGATAATTATCGTACAAATGGGATCGCTGCTAACGATAATATAACTAAAATTTCGATCAATGCCAACTTAAAGAAGAAACACTTGGTTATTTTTTGCTACTGAGTTGGTATCGATTGCACGCATCACTCGAGAGCAATACTTTTTACAGTGCTAGATTGTGCGATGCGATGCTCTAGTTGAAACATTCAACGTTGAGCATTATGCCGCATAATGCGCTTTAGTGCTATAATTGGAAAACGGGGGGGGGGATCTCTACTTCTTACCTCTACCCTCCATAGTTATTACTAAAGATTAATGTTAGGGATTTTATAATACGATAACGTTGGCAGTACACTACTCATTATTTTCTAAAATCACTAATCATTTTTATACGTCCATGTTTTCGCATCGCACGTGGGTGTTCGATATTTATTTTTTTTTATTCTTTACATATTTATGGTAAAGAAATATCAAAATCATTATCAATGGCAGGATTTACCAATGATTTATTTGATGTTTTTGATGAGCCTAATGATATCGTTGAAATAATACCTAAATCAACGAAAGATGTTGATCAAAAATCGTCATACACAAAGTAAGTATAAACAATTTTTTAACTAACCTAATTTAACATTTAACTTAATATTCATTTGAAAATTTGTGTATAGTGATATTAATAATGATAGAAAATCAAAATGTGATTTTGAAAATGATCGTGAGGTGCCAGTGGCTAAAAGAGTAAAAAGAGATTCTATCTTGGACGATATCAAGTATGTAAAAATGTTTTTTTTTTATATATCTACTTAGACCATTTAAAGCTTTAATCACTTGACATATAAATAAAATGTTTGTCGACGCTCCCATAGGATACCATTTAATTTGACTAAATTGTGAACACTCATATACAAACCCAAAAACAGGGCTTTTTATTTTTAAATTTATATTGCTTTATGCGATTTTTTGAAAAGAGGAATGCATCTTTAACATTCTAAACAAAACAGCATTGATTCATGATCAATACAGCTAATTTAATGGTATACTGAACGTTGTTCGCCAAAAACAGTTCTTGACATCTCAGAGACGTTAAAATATGTCAAGTGGTTAATCTTTTTTCAACATTTATGTATTAATTATTTGTATTATTATTTAAAAAAAAAAAAACTTATTAATTTGTATCATTTAATACAGTATTGATGAATTATCATCACGTATAAAAATTTATACCATGGAAGCAATAGAGTCATGTACTCATGAAGTAGCTGTACCACCTGATCATGAATATACAAAATTAGAAACTAAACAAACAAAACCAGCTAAGGAATATAAATTTCCTTTGGATCCATTTCAAAAAGAATCAATACTATGCATAGAAAATAATCAATCCGTTCTTGTTTCTGCTCATACATCGGCAGGAAAAACTGTTGTTGCTGAGTACGCATATATATATATATATTTTTATGTTCTTATATGTTTTATCAATTAATTAAATAATTACTAAAAAGATAATTTAATTTAATAGGTATGCCATAGCCTGTTCTTTAAGGAACAAACAAAGAGTTATATACACAACTCCTATAAAAGCTTTGAGTAATCAAAAGTACAGAGAATTTTATGAAGAATTCAAGGATGTAGGATTAATAACAGGAGATGTCACAATTAATCCAACAGCTAGTGTTCTTATTATGACGACAGAAATTTTAAGAAATATGCTTTATAGGGGTTCTGAGGTTTAACTGAATTAATGATCATTATTTTATAATATATACATATATCGTATTAATTTTAACACCAAACTATTATTTATTTTTAGGTTATGCGAGAAGTTGGTTGGGTAATATTCGATGAAATTCATTATATGCGTGACAAAGAAAGAGGTGTAGTTTGGGAAGAAACTTTAATTCTTTTACCTGATAATGTACATTATGTATTTCTCTCTGCTACTATACCAAATGCTCGTCAATTCGTTGAATGGGTTGCTCATTTACATAAACAACCTTGTCATGTTGTTTATACAGATTATCGACCAACACCATTGCAACATTACATATTTCCAGTTGGTGGAGATGGTATTCATTTGGTACGTAGATTTCATGTTTATTGTTAGTAATAAAAGTTAAATGTATATAAAATACTAGGGGTGCCCCGTCTTTAAATCAACGAATTACCTTATACCGTCATCTGCTAGAATCTCATCGAACGAACAGAGATAATCATGACTCTTTGTTAATAAATAAATAATTCGCAATTAAATAATATTGTGATTATAAATTGAGATATAAACTATCCTATCTTTTAATTGGATGAAACTGCACACAGTGTGCAAAATTTTATTAAAATCGGTTCAGTAGTTTAGGAGTCCATGCGGACAAACAACGTGACACGTAATTTATATATATTAAGATGACACGTAATTTATATATATTAAGAAGAAGAAGATTAAGATGTTATTTTTTTGTTTTATATGACAACAGGTTGTAGATGAAAATGGTCAATTTAAAGAGGAAAATTTCAATAGAGCCATGGCTTGTCTTCAACACGGAGATGCGGCTAAAGGTGATACGAAAGGTCGTAAAGGTGGTTTACGAGTTACCAATGATGGTCAAACAAATATCTTTAAAATGGTCAAGATGATTATGGAAAGAAATTTTGCTCCAGTTATAATTTTCAGTTTTTCTAAAAAAGATTGTGAAGTTTATGCCATGCAAATGGCGCAATTAGATTTAAATACAATGGATGAAAAAAAATTGGTCGATGAAGTTTTCAATAATGCCATGGATGTATTAAGCGAAGAAGATAGAAGATTACCACAAGTTGAAAATGTACTTCCACTTTTAAAACGTGGCATTGGTATTCATCATGGCGGTCTTTTGCCCATTTTAAAAGAAACCGTAGAGATTTTATTCGGCGAAGGATTAATTAAAGCATTATTTGCTACGGAAACTTTTGCGATGGGATTAAACATGCCTGCGAGAACGGTTTTGTTTACAGCACCGCGTAAATTTGATGGCAAAAATTTTCGTTGGATAACGTCAGGTGAATATATTCAGATGAGTGGACGTAGTGGTCGCAGAGGTTTGGATGAAAAAGGAATAGTTATTTTGATGATCGATGAACAAGTTAGTCCTAATGTTTGTAAAGAAATTGTACAAGGAAAACCAGATCCAATTAATTCTGCTTTTCATTTAACATATAACATGGTACTTAATCTTTTAAGAGTAGAAGAAATTAATCCGGAATATATGTTAGAGAGAAGTTTTTATCAATTTCAAAATCAAGCTTGTATACCATCTTTATACAACAGTACGTATTCGTTTGTATTTTAAGTATTTTTTATATATTTAACATTAAACTTAATATATATTTTATTTATTTTCATTTTTACAGATGTAAAACAGTTAGAAACCTCTTACAATGAAATAAATATCGAAAATTATGATCAAATATCGTCGTATCATGATATTCGTGAACAATTAGACAGATTAAATAGTGAATTTAGATCATATATAACAAAACCAGAGTATTTACTTCCATTTTTGCAACCTGGTAGATTAGTAAAAGTACGTCATTTGAAATGAAATTTTAATGATTTTTTTTTTCAAAGATTGAAATGATTTAATTAATATTTATTTTAGGTGAAAAATGGAAAAGAAACATTTGATTGGGGTATTGTAGTAAATTTCAGTAAAAAGGTTCCTAAAAATCCAGTAAAAGAAAATGTAACTTTGATCGTTGATATTTTACTTCATGTATCTAAAAAATCAAGCGAAGGATGTCCAATACCTTGTGAAAATGAAGAGGATGGTGATATGGAAGTTGTTCCTGTTTTACATACATTAATTACTCAAATCAGTTCTCTTAGGCTATATCATCCAAATGATTTAAGACCCAGTGCAAATAGAAAAAGTGTATTGAAAACTATTGACGAAGTGAAAAAACGATTCCCAGATGGACCACCATTATTACATCCAATAGCTGATATGCACATTGAGGATCAAAATTTTAAAGACATTGTTAAAAAAATTGAAATTCTCGAAAGAAGATTATATGAACATCCTTTGCACCAGGTAAAATAAAATTATTTAATATCTTGTTTTTTATTTTTTCTAAAACATGAATATACTATTAATGTAAGTGTTGATATTTTTATTAATAATATCGAATTTTATAACTAATTCTCAACATTTGTATTATTAAATTTCTTTAACTTCATTTTTGTAATACAGGATACTAATGTGTGTACATTGTATGAACAATATTTAAATAAAGAAGAATTAGGTAAACAATTGAAACGAGCTAAAACAGAATTAAAACAGGCTAAATCCATATTACAAATGGACGAGTTGAAATGTAGAAAACGTGTACTCCGAAGAATGGGTTATTGTACAGCGGCCGATGTAATAGAATTAAAAGGGAGGGTTGCTTGTGAATTAAATGGTGCTGATGAATTGTTAATGACTGAAATGATTTTTAATGGTTTATTTAATTCATTAAGTATACCACAAATGGTAGCGTTAATCAGTTGTTTTGTCTGTGATGATAAATCTAATGAGATGCCCAGAAGTACGGAAGAATTAAGTGGACCACTCAGACAAATGCAAGATTCAGCACGAAGGATAGCTAAAGTTTCAACTGAAGCTAATTTAGAATTAGACGAAGATGCATATGTCGAAGGATTTAAACCATATCTAATGGATGTTGTTTATGCTTGGTGTAAAGGTGCAAGTTTCTTACAAATATGCAAAATGACAGATATATTTGAAGGTATGGATCATAATCAATAAAATTATATATAAATGTATACAGTGATTGATCAGTTAAGAAACAATTTGACTAACAACATTGTCTTTAAATACATTATGTTTGTTAATCGATCATACACTGTATATATATTTTGTTATTATTGTTAAAAGATCAATAATAAATTATAAATCGTTCGTATCGTTGTAGGATCGATAATAAGATGCATGCGACGTTTAGAAGAAGTTCTTAGACAATTATGTCAAGCTGCTAAAAATATAGGAAATACAGATTTAGAAAATAAATTTAGCGAAGCAATTAAACTCATGAAGAGAGATATTGTTTTTGCTGCATCTTTGTACTTGTAATTAAAATTTAGGCAATAAGATTAAATCAATTTGTATTATTATTAAACTTCACTTTTCATTATATTTCATATTTCATTATATTTTTCATTATTAATAATAATAATAATAATAATAAAGAATTTTTTTGAGAATTGTTCAAAATGTAATTTATTACTCAGTGAATAGTTAAAACATACAATGCATATGTATGAAAGAATAATGAGTTTTTATACAAAATCAAATTACACCTGTTAATATTTGTCTATATAGAAGAGAAGAAGAAAAAAAAAACGAAAAAAAAAAGACAAAAAAAATATGAAAAAAAAAAAGAATTATAATAATATATTGTATATTATATAATAAACCAAATTCAAATTAATCATTTACTAATGTAAATTTTTTAAATAAATACATTTTAAGAATATTTTTTTTTTTTGATGTTTAACATCTCTACACTTTAATTTAATTATAACAAATAATTTATCGTTCCTCTAATATTACTGTTTCTTGTGGACAAAACTTTAGTTCCATTAACGTCATTTTAGAATCCATTGATGTTAACTGTAATTGATAAAAATTAGACTTGTAATTCTTGTAATACGATGTAAATGCTTATACCAAACATTATTATAATTAAAAAAGAACAAAAAAGATAATATACAAGGGAGATATTAAAATTCGAACACTTTGGAAATGAATCAATCAGTAAAAAAAAAGAAACAAAGGTAACTATAAGATAAGAACTTAAATTGCTTACATGATCTACTTACATCCCTTCGGGGCCAACTAGAAAGAACTTTATATTCTTCCGTGGGATAACCTTCGACGATTAAAAAATTAAGGAGTGTTTGAAGTGGCGTATCTGGCTGAAATCTACGTTCAAGGTATTTGCCAGCTGGAAGTCGTACTCTTACTTTGAGAACACCATCGCCTGCATTTTGTAAAGGTTCGGGAGGTAAACTAGATTCTATTGCCTGTCTATGAGCTTCCTTCCTTGCTTCTTCAGCTAGCCTCTCATTTTCTGCCTGTTCCTTTCGTCTTTTCTCAATCTCTTCTTGCATTTGTTTAGCTTCTTCTTTTGCTCTACAAAAACATATATGTATATACTAGGGGTGCCCCGCCACGCGTGCTGTGGCTTACAATCAGTCCGATACACACGTCTTTGAGTCAACGAATTACCTTATACCGCCATCTGTTAGAATCTTATCGAACTAACAGAGATAATCATGACTCTGTTAATAAACAAATAATTCGCAATAAAATAATAATGCGATTATAAATTAAGACATAAACTATCCTATCTTTTAAGTTGGATGAAACTGCACACAGTGTGCAAAATTTTATTAAAATCGGTTCAGTAGTTTAGGAGTCCATTGCGGACAAACAACGTGACACGTAATTTATGTATATTATAAGATAAGATAAGAAAGAAAGAAGATATATACGTAGGTTGGAACTTAAATAGTGGCAACTATTTATTCACAACCGATACAAAAGAGTTACATGTTTGCACCTGTTACTGTCCTTCAAAGCAGTCACCAGCGTTGTGTAGAACCTGTTGCCAGCGATTTGGAAGGCGTAGTATACCGTTAGCAGAGCCTGTTCTGTTGATGGTGCGAATGGAGCGGTCTAATGCCTGTCGAATCTCTGGAACAGTTCTTAAACGAATGCCACGATGGGTTCCACATGAATTGACGGAAATGCAAAAATGAATGCGTTACGACGCTGCTCAGACGCACTTGGAGCGATATGAACGCGAAGGAGAGGCTTTCTTACGCCGTATTGTAACACGGGATGAGACATGGCAGTAAACCGCTTCATTCGCACCATCAACAGAACAGGCTCTGCTAATGGTATACTACGTCTTCCACATCGCTGGCAACGGGTTCTACACAACGCTGGTGACTACTTTGAAGGACAGTAACAAGTGCAAACATGTAACTCTTTTGTATCGGTTGTGAATAAATAGTTGCCACTATTTAAGTTCCAACCTACGTATAAATACGGTTATAAATATACAGTTAATTATTATTCTATTTACCTATCTGCAGCTAAACTCTCTTGATAAGCTTTATCCTGTTCCTGTTTAACTTTTTCTCTAGCTTGTCTTTCTTCTTCTACACCAATATCTGTACGCCTTTGTTCCTACATCCCATAATATATTAATATATCTATTTATAAATGTTCTTTTTATTATACATTCATTTACATAACAATTCGATACTAATATTTACCTGAAAAACATCAACTGCTTGAATTAAATTAGTAAGTAATTCATTAACTCCCACATTACCATGTACAATGGTAAATATTTCAGTATTCGATCTAGATCTCATTATTATCATAAGTGCTGGTAAAGTATCAACGTCAATATTTCTAACAGTTAATGCAGCAACAGATCCAAGTGTTTGATTAACTGATGTCAAAAATCTATCAATTAAAATTAATACAAAATTAATTAATCACATTGAGAGATTAAGTATAGATATAATAAATAAAAAATATGATTTATATGTATATATATATATACTTTTGTTTGTTAGATTCATACGTGATATCCCAACCCCAAACAATAAAATTTGCAGAAAGTAATTGAAGCACCGTTTCAAAGCCTAGTAATTCTGTGCAAAATACATTTGCTAGGACACTGTTATCGTGATGTAAATATACGGCTAATAATTTTCTCTAAAATACAATTTACATTGATTTTATTTTTTTCATTAGTTATTTCAAAATTGTATAATTAATATTAAAATATTTATTAAACAAACCTCCTTCGCAGGTTTTAAACATGACTCTTTAATAGCATCTTCAAAAGTGCCAGTAAAAAATTCTGGATGATTACGACCATAACGTTTTTCATACTGTTCCGCAAAGTGTAGTGTACCCATTATTTCATCTTCTACATTTTCCGGCACTGTTAAATAAAAAAATAAAAAAATAAAGGATTAAAGTTAATGAATAATATTATATTTTTTGTTCATTAATTAATTAATGAATTGTTTTAATATACTTACTAAGACGTTGTATCTTGGTAGACGTGATATTATCTATAAAAATATCATCCTCAACATTAAATGATTCAGGAACATCAAATTCTTCTATGTCTTCCGGTTCATCTATAGAACTATCACTGTCAATTAATTCTACAACATCCTAAAATCATGAAATATATTATTTTAATCCAAAACTTTTTTGTCGCTCATTCTAAAAACTTAAAAATAAATCAAAATAAAGGAAAGTTTGCTAAATCAATAATTTGTATGTTACATTTCTTTTAAATTATATTAAATTTAATTAATTATAATTTTTATTATAATAAATATTATAATTAATTTAGTATTATTAATTAATTTATTATAATTAATTTTTATTATAATATTTAAATGTAATTTATTTATATTAAATTTATGTTACATTTCTTTTAAATTATATTAAATTTAATTATATTCGATTTAACACGAGTGTAAATCCATAGTTACTTTCATTAATGTTTATAATTGTATAATGAATCTTACAATTGCCAAATATTCCATTGTAGAATATTATATTTACATTGTAGAATAATATAAAAAAAATATATATATATATAATATAGAATATAAATAATTTGGAAAGTACCTTTTTCTCTTCTTTAGAAGGAAGCTTACTAACTGATAAATCATGTTCTGGATAATGTACACCACTTTGAGCCAACATTACATTATCATCTTTCAATGACGTGGGCCAGCCTTTCCATTGTTGATGTCGAACAGGAACATCAATCAATGAATATACACTTGTTTTAACATCCAATATTGTATGTGTTCCAGGAAATTTTAATTTGTATGATTTATTGTGTATTTCATCTTTGATGTTTAGAGTATAAGTTAATGTGATACGATCCGACAAACATACACTTAAAAACATAAAAAAGAAAAACATTTTTTAATAAATACGATAAAGAAAAATTAATAATTAATTAAAAATTACATACATATCGTCTGTTAAATCCCAATTTTTCGATACAGATGTCACAAACAATGTATTTTCTGTTGGTAATTCTAAAGTTTGAAGAACAGTATTATTCGTGTTGGGTTCCTTCTTCCATCCGCGTATTTGTTGCTGACACGGTGTAACATTTGTTTGTTCCCATATAGATTGCTTAAGTTCACCTAATATTTATTTTGATCTCTTAGATATTTACCGATATCATTTAAAATTTTATATCATGTGTTAATATGACAGATTAAAAGTAGATTTTTAAAAACAAAACAAATAAAAGAAAAAGAATATTTTTTATTATTATTTTTTTAATTAAACACTTACCTACAGTAGATAATTCAGATATATCTATTTTATATATCTTGTTTAAATGATTAATACGGAATGTAAGCATTTTAGCAACTTTTGATTGACTCGTTCCAGGTTTAACATCTTCTATTATTTCTGATTTAGCAGAATCAGCATTTTTGATAGAACTTGTTTGCGTTATTATAGACGACTGAGGTATATTTCCTATTTCTTCTATCATTTCTACTTCAGGACCCATATCAAATGGAAGTTGTTGAGTACCACGCGGCATTGCTTGATTTACCGCTGCCTGCATTATCAAAATATATATTTGAATATGATTATAATTAATTTTAATAATAATACATGTAATCATGATAATCTTCTAAGTATATTTACCAATAAGTCCCAATTTGTTTCTTCCAAATATAGAATTGCTTCCCCGACATCATCAATTCCTGTACAAGCCTATAAAAATACAAAATGTAATTAAAGTTATAACAACAAATTTAATTAACTAAATTATTATTCAATTTATAACATTATTTATTATTCTTTATGTGAAATAGAAAAAAAAATTGAATTTTATTTTTCTATAAACTAAACACAAACTACTAAAATCAAAAACAAAAAACTGTCAATTACAAATTATTTACAATAACGAAAAAAAAAAAAAAAATAAAAAAAAGCAAATTAAAGAGGAAAAATTGTCAATGATTAATTGTTATTAGTATCATTATTATTATTATTATTATTATTATTATTATTATTATTATCGATAGAGTTTAAATGAAATATAATAAATCATATATAAAAAAAAATTGTCTTTGTTCGAATAATCTTTACATTCAACTATTGCCAATGTCATTCAGTAATGCAACCATAACCTTAAATCATAATAATTTTTTACTACACTTTAAACATTGATGTATATGTTTTGTTGAATATAAATTACCTGAAAATCAGCTAAAATCACCTCACGGCTTTCAGCCATTACGACGTTGTATATATGTAGAGATGTGAAAAAAATCTTTATCAAGAATCTAAACTTTGAATTCTTTATCCTCAAAATTATTATAAAGAACATGCACAACAAATCCAAGCCATCGATGCCTTAGATATATCACAGTACTTGATGCGAATCGACTAGTTTGTACTGTTTATACATTTCTGTTCCTAAAATCAAACAATAGTTCGTATATTCGACGACATACCAAAATTTATTTCACTTAAGTTACAAACAAATGTGATTGGTTGAATTTTATTATTTCAATTAACGACCAATCACAAGCCTTTGTTTTACTAGGAAATTCGATAACTTGATGATACACTTCTTATATTTTTATTATTTTTTTTTAATAATTAAATAAATTTATTTATTTGTTTGTTTTTTTTTTATTTAAAAATTTCTCAACAAATTTGTATATAATATATATAAATTCAAATTTGATAATGAGGAAACAAATATTAAATTGTTTAAAATGAAATGAATTTGACAGTTATTGCTGTAATTCGATATATTATTATTATTGTATGTTTTTTTTATTTATAATTAATAGGCCTACGTTTCTTTTTAAAAATACATTTTGTTCCATTTTTTATTATTAATTTTGTTTTTAATTAATAATATATATGCGAACAATAACATGATGTCCAAAATTTAAATATCAAACAAGTCCAAATTTTGATATACAATTTAACTAATTTTATGAATTAATAATTTTAATTTTCAAATTTTTCATTTTATTTATTTTTAATAGAACAATTGTATAATTGTATCATTACAAAATTTTCTGTTTCATCATAATTTCTTATTTTGTGAATGTATGTGTGAATATAATATTTGTTGGGTTTGTATCTTACAATGGTGGTTCTTGTACGTAATTTAAAAAAGAAAAGAAAATTTCTCAATTTTACATATATATACGTATATCTATCAAATAATTAAACTTTTGAAATTAATATTATAACTATTTATTTTATAAATTATTCGTTAACCTAAAATCAACGAATAAAATATTGTTATTGTTCAGATTATTCTAGCCTATAAAAACATTAATATTCACAAACACATTATATTTATATTGAATGTATAAATAAACAAAATAATAATGATGAACGATTTATTAAAGGAATGCAAATACGAATGTAGGTTAGTTTTTTACTTTCAATTATTTTATCTATTAAAACATTATTTTTCTTTGTTAATATTTCTTTCTCTTTCTATAAATGCATTAAAATTTACATATATATATATATATATATATATATATATATATATTTAATTATCTTTTTAAAATATATTATATTGTATTAATGTACTATTTGTTAAAAAGAAAACATTTATTTTTTAATCAGAGTTAGTACGGTAATGAATAAAGATTCAAGAAATTATGGAAAACAATGTATGTTTGACGATTATGAAGAAACGTGTTGGTTTTCTGATTCTGTAAGTAACTAATTATTTAATGTTTACATCAGAGATGGAAAATAGGATTTGATCTGCGTGTTAAAAAATAATAAACTTTATAGTGATCTCTACTTGGCATATATGCCACTTATTTGCCATTCCTGATTTTGATTGACAAATATAATATAATATAATTATACAATTTGAAAACATATTAATGATATAATGTTTTAAATAATATTGTTATATACATGTTACAGGGTTTGCCACAATGGATAAAGATTACTTTTGAAAAAATAAATACTATAACTGGATTTGAGATTCAATTTCAAGGTGGCTTCGCTGGAAAAGTTTGTTTGGTTAACATTGATGATGATAACGAAAGCACCATTTATCAGGAATATTTTTATCCAAATGATATTAATCCAAGTCAACGTTTTGCATTGAAAAATCCAACTACAGGAAAAACATTTAAAATAATATTTAATGAAAGTACAGATCTATTTGGTAGAATTGTTGTATATAAATTATGTATATTTTCATGATAAATTGATTATTTTTCTTTAAAAATTAAAATATTTCAAATGTATAATAAATTTTATTTTTTTTTTATATCTTTGTTAACTATTTAAGAAAAGAAAACAAATCATTCTAAAATTACACACAGCATGAACTTCATTCTTTGTATAGATTATGGAGGGTAGAGGTGAGAGCAGTGCTGTCAGATCGTGGGTAAATCTTACCCGGACATGGAAAACTTTCATTGTGTGCAATCCCAGTGGCACAGGGAGAGGGTAAGATTTACCCACGATCTGACAGCACTGGGTGAGAGTAACATCTCTGTATATGAAAAGTATCCGTCGAAATGCGTCCAATTCGAGTGGCGCCACAATTCGCAGAGTGCCAATTTTAAAGCGCCAAATATTATTAGAATAGGATTGAGAAATAAACAAGAAACACAAATTTTACAAAACAAATTTTACCCATAACTGTTTTGTTATTCACATACTTTTTCATAAAATTAAATGATAAAAAATCAATAAACGTACTATTCACAGTTCACGAAATAAAATCACTCTAGTTACACGTTTTCTCATAATAATTCTTTAAGGTTATATTTACTACTTTATTACATAACTCGGCAAACTTCAATTCGTTTATAATTGCTACATTCATACCATACCTTCTATCTACACCAGCGCTATTCTGGAAGGTTTTTGAACTAATATTTTCAGAAAACGCTGGACACTTTTTCACATTTTCTCCCATAAAAGATGTAACTCCTTACCTCTACCCTCCATAGTATAGATAAATACTTTTTAATGGCGTCAAGTCAATAATATGGTTTTTTTTAGGTTATGTTTCTATGAACAAAATTACTTTAAAAATGAATAATTATTTTAATATATTAATACGTAAAATTAAAATTTTGTTGAAAAATTTTCAAATTAGCTTAACATTAAATATTAAAATTTTTACCTTTCAAATGACACTTCGTTCATGAAAATTAAGTAAGAATTATACCTGGTACGATTTGCGATGGAAACGCTGTCTTAAATAATTTTTATACAAAAGTATATCAGATGTATTTTGTTAATAAAAATAAAATTAACAAATGAAAAGAAAAATAAATAATTTCATTTAATAATTAATAAGTTGAAAGATTGGAAAAAAATGATTTTCTTATTGTTAGAAAATAAAAAAATTTTTTTGGTTTCCTATCTTGTAATTTTACTACTGATGCTTATGTTTTGAAATTTCAAAGTGATTTAAACGTTATTTATATTTGGTCATTAAATATTGTATGTGTGTGTGTGTCTGTATTATAAGTTTAGTAAATAATAACTTACTATATTATTTAATTATCAAATAAATTACATTGTAAAACTATTGTTTATTCATTTTCTTTAAAAAAATATCATAAACAATGGCTGTAAACACATATTTTTATCGTAATGTACTTCTTTTAACTCAAGTAATACCAACAAGTGATGAATTCAAATTACATTTCAAAGAAGTATATTTAATAATTGAATTTATAATTATATGATAATGAATGTTTAACAAATTATTTATTTAACTTTTGTCATTTTTAGGGAATGTTTAACAAACCCAATACAATTGGATTCATGCATGTTACACAGTATTTATTAACAATATATGATGCAGAATATTTCAAAAAATCCTTTCAATGGCCTGTAACATGTAAAAAAACAGAAGTGAAATATCGTAACAGTGTTAAAGATTATTTAAATGTAATAGCAAAAGAAAATGCTGATGTCAATTTTCCTCCTATTCTTACATCATTTTTGGTTCGAGCTCATGGACAGAAATTTAATATTATTATGTGGAAACTATCTACTGTAGTCTTAAGAACATACATTAAAAGAAATTGTAAGTATTTATTTTGTTCTTTTTTTTATATCAAATTTGAATAGTTAACTTTAGAATAAATTTTTGTTTTCATTTGCAGTTGATCCAAATATTTTTTATGCACCACGTTTGGGTTCTACAAATGAATTGATAAAAACAACTCTTCAGGAAATAAATAAAGATACAATTTCTAATATCATGTCTTATCGTAGAAATATGAGCAAAATGAAGGAAACATTTAAAATTAATATGACGTAATTGATATTGAAATTCAAATGATTCATTTCAGTCAGAATATTATTGTATTTGTTATATTTGTATTTTTAGGGAAGAAAAAGAAGCATGGTCTAATGTAAAGCAAGAAATTTTTGAAGTGAAACAATCTGTATTAAATTTGGCATCTAAAGCACCGGTTGATTCGAGTATTAAAAAGTGCCTAACGAATATAGAAAATACTAAAATTATAGAATGTTTGTATATTCATGTATGATATATACGTACTACTGAAAAACAATGAACATAATTTAATTTATAATATTATTTATAGTATGGAAACATCACATAACGGAAAATTTATCATATATAAGAAAAAAAAATAAGATTTTCAAGGAAGTACAAATTCTAAGCAATAAAATTACCGATATGATTTCTAGTATAATTAATGGTACAGAAATATTGGATGCACATCAACTTGGAAAAGTACATTCATCTACTATTTCTCTTCTTCCATTATCAACGAATATACAGGTAACTTATATTATAATAAAAAAAAAAAAAAAATAGAATAAACCTTAGACAATTATGTTCTTATTAATCAAACTTATTTCAGTATCTTCTTCATAACTTATATAATAATGACAAATTGGTGTTACACAATTTTCTTATATTATTGAATTTCTTATTGTGCCAAGTGTATCAATGTTTAAAGAAACATGAATTGAAAGATTTGTCAAAGTGTCTTTTACAAATAGAAGCAAGCCAAGAAGATATTACATCTGGAATAAAATCGTTTCAAAGTTTAACAACTTCTATAGAAACTATTTCGACTAATTTGAAGTTACATTTCAATCAGAAGAAAATAAATGAAACGTTTCAAGAACATATTTCGGCATTGGAAAATAGTATATTTTGTTCGTCACCACCTATCAAAATTAATACCAATTGTAGTGAGGAAGGAAACGATGTATTAAAAAGATTAGTGCTTACACCGATAGAAGGTGCACACAGATCATTATTTTCCAGATACAAAAGACATGGTATCACAAATGTACCTGTTTCTCAATTAAGAACTAATTTATTAGTAGCACGTACTAACTTTGATGATACTTTGTCGTTAAATAATAGTGATAAAATTTCACCAAATTATTCGCAATTAATCAAAACGGTTTCTTCGTCTACCAAACGTACAGGAAAATATTCACGTTTATTTGTATCGTATGCAAAAAAGAACTCTGAAAAAGGTAAGACATATTTTTTATAATTAAATCTGATTAATTTAATATTATAATTAACCAATATTTTATATCTGTGTGTGTGTATAGGTAACTGTAGTATCATTTCAATACCAGATTCTTTAAAAGCTAATTCTACTGCTCTAACAAGTATAGAAGAAGCCCGCAACATATCTCAATTTAATCTAAGAAGTACAACAAAAAGTTTCTTTGATCTCAGAGAAGTAATGACACCTGATAAATTTAATACAATTAATCAATTAAAATCTCAATGCATTTTCAAAGAATCTAACAATTTACATAACGATCATTGCGAATCGAATAATGAGACTGAAAAAGATAATGCGACCAATACTAAAGATACATCTGTCAATAATGTTAAAGATACGACAAATAGAAGAAGATCTATTAGTGATTTAGTTCAACGTTATAAAAAAGTATTGGAAAATACAAAAGACTGTATAATATATGATAACTAAATGGATGTATCTTTCTCATACTTTGAGAAGTTCTTCTATGAAATGTAAGAATAGGAAATTAATAATATTTATACTAAATTTATGTGTAATCAATTTTAAAGATCTATAAAATAGTTTGCTTTTTTTTTAAATCGCTTTTAATTATACTCTCTATTAGAATAATTCATAGTTGTATAATAAATTTGTTAATTATGTTTCATAGAAGGTTTCTTTATATATAATGATACATAAGTTTCATGAATTTGTTTAACTTCATCTATTCCTCATATTATATCTTGTCTACAATTAATTTTATAATACATTATTATAGTATTAATATTATTATAATTATAATTTATATATTATAATTAATAATAATAATAATTATTATTATTTGATGACAATATTATTATTGTTATTGATTTTATAATAAAAATATTTCTTTTTTCAAGATACATGCAAATGTATACTGTACAAAACTTGTAGTAAAATATTAAAATATTACAGATCTTGTTTGGTTTTTCTTTTTTTTTCTCTTTTTTTTCTTCTTCGTTTTCATTTACGGCAGTTAAAAAATATTTAGACATCTCAACAAATATCTATTCCTTTATCTTTTATATATATATATATATATGTGTGTGTGTGTATGTGAAAGAAAAAGTAAAACGTTTCAAGTCTTTTGTATTAAGTTGTTGCTTAATTTCTGTCGTATTATTTTTAACTTAAAAAAACAAATTGATATAAATTAGATCTTCGATTTTTCATTCAAGCCATATCGGTTATCAATGGTGTCATCATTTTTATAGTTTTCTATAGATGATAGATTCAAACTTGTCAATTTAAAATACAAAATTATTCAACCAAACATTTTGACAAGTGCACGAAATACGATAGAAATTAAGTAACAATTTAATAATATTAATAATACATCACATATAGTTGTTAATTATTAATTATAAATTTACATTGTATATATATATATATAAAAGTTCATATATTATTACCAATAGTATGAATCACATAATTTTTTTATTGCCGTAAAAAAATTACTTACAAGAATAAATGTGTGATTGTATCTCGCAATATCTTTCTTATATATATTTAATTATCTAAAAAGCAAAAATACACGGAATTGTGAACGTATAATTGCAACATATTAGTTTGGAATAAAATAAACTTTCCGATATTAATCTTACTATAATAAGAATGTTTTACTTTTTTTTTATTTTTTTTTAATATGGAAAGGCACTATATGGTGTTTATTTATTATTTTCTATAACTAGGAATGAAAAAAATAATATAACAAAGAAAAATGTTTTTTTTTTTTAAATTTAAAATAATTCCAATCTAATTAATTAAAAAAAAAAAAACAATAACATAATGTTTAAAAAATTTGTTAAAATTATTTCTAGTTTTTGTTTATATATATATATATATATATGTGTGTGACCTATTTTTCAGATTAAAAGTGTTTCGCAAAAGCACTATCAAATAAATTATTTATACATGAATTATCTTCTGTATACATGTGTATGTGTTTGTGTATTATGTGTGTGTGTGTTATAATTTTATAAATATTATATGAACCACTTGTAAAAAAGACATCTATCCCATTTTTTTAACAAATTTTAATAATGCGTTTTAAAAGCTTTTTCAAAAAATCGGATTTTTTTTAGTATAAATTTGAGTATAAATCTTGAACTTAATATGGATTCGCATTTTAAAATATGTTTCTTAATAACCTTTTTTTTTATATAAATCATATTGTTTGTTTCTTTTTTTTTTTTTTCGTTTTCATAAATGTTATATTTAAGCCATCTTCATCGAGCGAGTGGTGAATAAAATTTAGGCTGTAATATAAAAATAAATGTTATTAAAATTTAAATTAAAAAAACAAAAGTATCGACATAAAACACCTTAAACGAAAGAAAAACAAACACAGTTATATTAAATTTTATAAAACAAAATCTTTGAATTATAATAGAAATATTAATATTCTTACTTCATCGTGACTTTCATCTTTATTTCCATCGTCGTCATCACCAGAACTGTCACCTCCTGAACTGTCTGCAGAGTTACGTTGTTGATCTTTGTTGTTTATACTGTCGATATTAACTGGAGCTGATGCTTTAACTTTACTAGCTGCATCATAACACTGCAAACATACACGGACGGCTTTTCCATTTCCTTGTCCAGGTAATAACAACTTCTTATTGCTGCAAGGTCCACATACTACTGCTCCACATTGTCTACAATGATGCTGCAAAGATATAAATTATAATTAATAAATAGATTTAAATAATTGATTAACATTTAAATATATATATAAAATAAATAACTGTACCCGTCTATTTAAAACCGTGAATTGTGTATTTTTACAATGCATACAAATAGGTGCATCATTATCTGGTACCCAAACCGCTGCATGAATTTCTACCGGTTTCTTACCACCTATTATAATAATAATGAGTTTTTAATTATAAATGTAAATGTTATAACAAAGTAGAGTTACCTACTCTTTCTTAATAAATCCTCGATACATTTTGTAATATGAGCCATCCATTCTTGCTTTTCTGTTGCAGTAGCAGCATAAACAGCAAACGACTTTGTTACTGTTTTAATGAGCCAGCCATTGCGATACTCTATAAATAATGATTAATTACTATCCTACTTTTCTTTATATTTAAACTCTTGCAAAAGTTGCATTTAATGCAACCGATTTAGTACCTAAAGTATAATCCCTGAAATTGTAATAAGTCCACAACTCTTTTTATTCGTTATACATATAAATCAAATATAAATCAATCAAATTGTACAAGAGTTATTGGATAAAATTAATGGAATAAATAACAAATATATTTTTATATTGTCAAAATAGATGTTCTAAATATTCTTCAACGTAAATAGTTCTTAATCATAATCGAAAAGATTATTAAATATTTAAAGATACATAAAATGAAAATAGGTTTTAACTTACGACCATCATCAGCTAAAGATTCAAGTTTCACTTCCTCCAATGGTATAATATGTTGCTTGTTGTACTGTCAGCATATAGAAAAACAAAGTAATTACATTTTAATGTGCTCAATGATTATTTTCTAATCTATTTGATTGAAAGCACAAGTAAGTTTTGCATACGTAAACATATCATCAACAATTTTTCTATTGCCAAGTTTAGTACACGTGTCACTTGTTTGCTTTATATAATACTATCGTATAGGAATATGAATATTTACCTTTTTCTTATTAATCACTATATTCCCGTATACTAATATGTCGTTAAATAAAAAGAACTGTCTAGGCTTGGCTTTCTTTCGACACATCTTTGTCAATACACCTTCTCCTACGAGAACCCTTCCAGGTACTGCCAGTGGCTACAAAATTAAAAAACATTTTATATGTTTATTACAATAATACATAATAATTGTCTTTGAATGTTATATAATAAGATCTAAATAATATATTTAAAAATGTTTCATTTAATTGAACAAAATACTTTGAATGATAAGATAAGAGAGATAAATCCAAAATATATATTTAAAATTATTCTTGATAAAAAAAATATACAAATCTTTTAAAAAGATATTCTGTAAGATTGATTGTTCATCATTATTTGAATTATTGTATTAATCATACCTGTCCTGAACTGCCGAAGCAGTTTTCCACCATCGTGATGCGTCTTGCATTGGCTTCACTGTTTACTGCAATAAACGTAATAAAATAAGGTTATGTTAGAAACGAATGATTAAATAAATCAAGAAAATGAATAAATTTAATTAGAAAATAATAAAATAATGATAATAATATTTATCGATACACGACACATTTAACGTCTAGTAAATGTCAAAATCACACAGCCCACTTAAATACGCCATTGTCCTTAACAATTAACATAAATCCTCGCGACACGCGAAATAATAGAAATTAATTGATCGTCAAAATAATAAATTAAACGTTGAATTTTTAATATACATTAAGTAATTTAATTCCATTTAAAACATGGAGATATTAATTAAAGAAAAATAAATAGTACACAAACTAACCCAATCGGTCAACCATGATCCTCTATGAATCAGGGCTGGCAATAGCAGGAAGCATGAATCAGACCTGCTATTTAATCGTAAGGAGAATTGTGTACGAATAATCTTCGATAGTATTAAACGACCCCAGGATTTTGTCAATTATGCGATTACTATCCCATTAACTAACTTTCATTACTTTTTCATGATAACCTACATATTATATTTAAATGTTTATATATATTAAATTTGATATAGGAAAAATATAACCTAACCATTTTATTCGAATTTATTTTAATATAACTATAATCGAAACTGATATAAGCTATTATATACACAACATGCATAGAAACAAAAATATCTCTCATATGACATATTTGATTATTATTTTTTTAAAATTGAAATTACAAATCTAAAATGATTGCAATATAATATTATTTGTTAAAATAAATATTTTTAATTGTTTTCATTTAATAATCGAAGAAATACCCATTACTCCGATTTAAATACCGGAAGTCGATAATGTCGTACGATATCGATAGTGTGACGTATCGATTAGAATCATATGATTGTCGAGGGCGTAGCATTGTTAAATCTATCTGTGAAGAAGTATTAGTGTAATCGTTGTGAGGTTACTTTGCCAAAGAGCAAAGTAACAAATTTATTAATAAAATGAAAGTATGTGGTCCAAAATATGCCCTATGTGGCTTAGTACTTTCTGTATGGGGTATATTTCAATTGGTGAGTTTTATTTAACAATTAATTATTTTTTAATAATTATTATATCTTTCATATATTTTACATAAATCATATTCAAGTTGTAACTATGTTTATAATGTTAGATATTTAAATTTTTATTTGTAACATTATGTAAAAATGTTATTTGATTATATATATCTGATATTTGTCATGACATTTTTTACAGGTCCTGATGGGAATATTTTTTTATATAAAGAGCGTAGCTCTGGTTGAAGACCTAAACTTTGAAAAAACTTATTTTTCTAATCAAAATGAATTCTATATAGAAGCTGAAAGGAGCTATACGCAAAATGCATACAATTGCTGGATTGCAGCATGTATTTATGTTCTTACATTCTTATTCTCCGGATATCAATTTTATTTAAATTCGAGATCGTCTCTTAGCGTTTAATAATAATAAAAATATATTTCTCATATATTGTAAATGAATTAACAATGCTGTTATAGAATAATATAATGTACTTGTATCAAGTGATTTATTATCCAGATTATTATATTATGTATATTCTATTTAAAAAAAACAAACAAGAAAGAAATCTAAATAATCAGAGAAATTTTAATTCCATTTTATTATAAACAAATCTGATTTTATATAATACATTCCATGTTCATCTAGTAATGTAAAAAAATTTGATCCTGTATATGCGCTTATGATATGTAATTACATTCTGTTGTGAATTAGAAAATATTGTCAATTATGTGCTATGTTCTTCCCTAAGATCTTACAAACTTCGTGTAAAATTTGATAGATTGTTAATTTGTACCTTATCTGCTTGTATAGATTATTATGATGTTAATATATATCTTAATTACATATATAATTAATTAGTACAACTTTCATTTTTAAAATTTTAATATTAAATTCAAAAGTAATAATTTGACAGATTAATCAAAAATTATTTACATTAATTTTTATTAATTTTATATAATTTACAAGTATTAATTATATAACAATTCAATTTTGATAACGTTTAACTTTATTGTTAAAAATGTGATATATTATATATATATATATATATAAATGCAATAACATTATGACATTATTTAATATCATATAATGATTAATTAATAATAAGGGAACAATTATTTATTTTTGGTCCAGAGTAAACAAAAATTAAGAATAAAATCTTTCTTCAGGAAAAATAATATTTTTCTGTTTTAATTTAGTCCAATCAATGGAAATCCATTTTATGTCACGTGAGTGTTTTGTATATGTAAGAATGACATATTGAAAGGTTATGTTCCTACTTGGTATGAATCATATCATATCATCAAATCATAGAATTATGATGTGGAATTGATGTCATTGCTTTATTTATTACTATTTTATAAAATTAAAGGTAAATAATACTTAATATTTTATATTATTAAAAGCATTTTTATATTTATATAATTTTAACATAACAAGGTATAAACATATAGTGATGAAATAGGTTAATTGAAAATCATATTTATTATTAACATGAAAAGAAGTGAAAATATGTAATAATTATTATTTTTTTGTGCATAGGAATATTTAAAACTTTCTTCTTACAATGCAGACCATTCGAGATGCAACAATCAACGATTACACAGAGATAGTCCAACGTCTTCCTGTCAAATTGAGATTAGCCTACGGAGTAGGACATGTATTAAATGATATTTGTGCTTCCATGTGGTTTACATATTTATTAGTGTATTTTCATTATGTATTGGGATTTAGTGCTACTCTTTCAGGAGTATTATTACTTATTGGTCAAATAGCTGATGCTGTAGCTACTCCATTTGTTGGTTTACATTCAGATAAAAATGATGATTTTTGGCTTTGTAAATATGGCAGAAGAAAAACATGGCATTTGCTAGGTATGTATAATTTTCTTTATAATCAGACTGTTGTTCTCGATTATTCATTATTTTCAATAATTGTACATTGATACGATATTATTTCTTTCAGGAACCATTTGCGTATTCTGTACATTCCCATTTATATTTTCTCCATGCATTCATTGCGAGAATGCACATCAATGGGCACAATTAATATATTATGCAGCTTTTATTATAATATTTCAATTTGGTTGGGCATCAGTACAAATTTCACATTTATCTTTGGTCGCCGAACTAACACCAACTGAACACGAAAGAACAGAATTGATAGCTATTAGGTAATGTTTTGATTTTTATCAAATACTCTTACATTTATATTGTAATATTTCTTATTAAAAATATTCATTATATATTTGGAAATAGATATAGTTTTACAGTATCCTCAAATATTCTTGTATATTGTACAACATGGGCATTACTACATATAACGAACAATGATGCTCCTGATGCTCAAATTGGACCTGGAGATGCTAACAAATTTCAAACCATAATATTATGTGTAACAGGAATTGGACTTTTTGCTTCTCTTATATTTCATATTTTTGTTAAGGAAGGAAGTATCAATAATTCGGATGGTAAGATATTTGAATCATTAACATTTGTTCACATATAAGATTTATATATTTTAAATTTCATAATTGATATTTTTAGGTTCCTTGCGTTGTAATACGAGACCTATATCAGTATTATTAAAAAATATACAATTATATCAAGCGGCATGCATTTATATGCCAACAAGATTATTTGTAAATTTGTCACAAATTTATATACCTTTATATTTACACGAATATTTAAATATGCCAGCTACGTTATTAGCTATTATACCATTGACTATGTTCATCAGTAGTTTTGTAACATCTTTAATTATAGAAAGATTAAATACTAAATTAGGAAGAAAAATATCATATTGTATTGGCATATTTTTTGGTCTTTTGGCTTGTATATGGATACGATTTGGAAATGGTTATACATATACAAATTATCAAATTTATCCGGTATCCATTTTACTAGGTACGTATAAAAATATATAGAGAATATGTTATAATGAATTATTTAGCAAATATAATATTCTAAATAAGTGTGAATTATTAGGTTCTGCTGGATCAATCATACTAGTAACCAGTTTAGGAATTACCGCTGATTTTATTGGTCAAAATACGGACAGTGGTGCATTCATATACGGATTTATGAGTTTTACTGATAAACTTGGCAATGGACTAGCTGTAATGCTTATACAATATTTGTTGGTATATTTTTATATAGACAACAAAATATATATATCATTAAATATGTAAAAATATTCATTTTTTTGTTACAGACGTAGATTTATAGTTAGTACCGATTATTACAGAAACATACTTTCATATGTTTGCGCTGGTTCTGCTATTTGTGGTCTTTTAATGATATTGTATATAAAACCATTTCCATCCCACACGGGTAAGTGTTATTAAATATTATATTAATAATCATAAATATAGATATATTTAAATAATTTCTATTATTACGTATTACAGATTACAGTACTGTAAATACGGATGGAACTACAGAAAATGTTGATACAAATTCATCTATTGTTTTTACTGTTAATGATAGAATAGATACATTCCCAACAAGACAAGAACACGTTACTTAATCGTTGATAATACACAAATGTATATAATGGTAGTATATATGTTTTAAGTGCGTTATTGCAGTGTGTAAAAAAAAGATGACGAAAATTTAAAAAAAAAATTATATATATTTTAATAATATTTTTAATGAAATATATGTATGTATATATTATATGTACATATATGTGTAAATATACATATATATATAAATATTTAAATTTTCATGTTGCAATATGATGGAATAAAGATCTATACTAAAAAGGATTAATAAAAAAATAAGTCACGGAAGTTCAGCATGCGATGGTACGGTGCCTATCCTTCTAAAGGACGAATTGTTTTACTGCACGCGATCCACTACCAGGCTCTCGCTGCTAAGCTTAAATTCGATTTTCCGATATTAGTATGTTGGTCCTAGTACAGTTAGTCCCGTGTCATTGATCGCTAAACATGTTCTTAAACGAAAGCTTCGTAACGATCTATCACGGGTGCTTTTTAGTTTTGTAAAAATGCTCAGTTCGAGCAACAATCGTGATTGTTTAATTGATATATCAACAACAATGTCAAATTCTGCTGGAGTTTCTAACACGTATCTCGTACGCCCACGATTACCTTTAAGGATTTATTCGAAACCTAAAATATGTGGAAGTTATACTCATTATCCAGATTCGGCTGGTCTCTCGCGTACGAAAAGAACTAAAACTAGGTAAATATTATATCAAATGATAAATAAAATTATTAATTTTGTATTCATTGTTTAATATTGTTTTTATTTTGAATTAATATTAGGTATAGGAAAGTTCTTTATTATTTTATAAATTATCTTCTTAGATGTTTCAACTTTTTACTCGAAGATGAAATAATACAATATATTTATATATTATTATTTAAATAAAGATTTATTTTTATAGAAAAACAAATGGAGTTCAAAAAATAGATTTAAACAAAAGGAAAAGTTCGGATTACATAGAAGTGATTTATAGAGAAGCCGTTTCCAAATTAAAATATTTGTTAGCTGAAACTTATTTACCAGTGGATTCTTCTGGGTAAGAGAATTCATTCGTAATAAATAATAATTATTTATTTATGTGTTATAATGTAAATGAAAAATTATACTATACAGAAAACAACAATGTGTTAAAAATAATTATCAATCCGGTAGAATAACTAAATCTGGGAACGATATAGACGAACAAAGTTTTATAAGTGAAGGTTCAAGAATGAAAGATTTAAATAACGATAATGTCTGCTTATTACCAACACCACGTCCACTTTCCTCTAAAAGTATTCATCCATCGAAAGCTTATAGTAATTTGGCACTTTCTATTGCTGAATTACAATCTGTTCCACCAGAAATTACTTCGTATATCGAACAGCAAGAAGAATATATCGAACAAATGGAACAGGAGTCTCAATATTGTAGAAGCGAATTAACTAACTTACTTAGCAAAGTTAGAGAGGTATATTTATTTATAATAATATATTTTATCAAAAGAATTTGTAATTTTCAATAACATAAGAAATAATTTTTCTTATTCATAAGGTCATAGCTGAAAATGAAGAATTGCATAATAAAACTAAAACTGGATTTTTAAAGTATGCTCTAGACGAGCACGAGAATCGTCCTGAAAATGATTGCACTTCTAACGAGCATAGTCTTGCATGTACAAGTAGCATAGATTCCAAGATGAATAAATCATTAAAAATATTAGAAGGACCCAATATAATATTTGAGTCAAGAATTAGTGAACTGGAAGCACAATTGACTCAAGCTAAACTCGAGTTAAGAAAAGTTCAAGAAGAAAATCAACTCAATGTAAAGAAATTAGAAAGTTCTTTAAATAATGGTAACGTTGAAATATCAGCACAATTGAATCAAACTTTAAGAGCTAAATACGATACAGAAATCAAAGTGGAAGAATTACAAAAAGCATTATCTGCTATGAGGGATAGAGAAATAGAATCTAGTCAAAAAGCTAAACGTTCTATGGAAATGGCACAACAAATGGAATTTGAAAAAAATCAAGCAGAAACTGAAGTGAAAAGATTGAAGGATGAGTTGGATAGACAACATGAAAAACTACGAGAAGCTGCTCATGAAGCTAGCAGACGTATTACCGAAGAAAGGCAACAAGTGGAACGTAGATACAGTCAACAAGTTGAACAACTTTCTGCTGACATAACTTCTCAATGGAATGCCGCTAACAAATCACAATTAGAATCTGAGAAACAGCAAAGGGAATTGTTGGATTTGAAGAGAGATTTGTCTCAAAAACAAATGATCATAGATAATTTAAAAAAAGATTTGCAGAATAGAATATGTAAGTAAAATGTATTTCATTAAATTTTATGAAAAAATATATATGTATATTATAATTTTAATTACTTATATTTAATTTAGCGAGTTTACAAAGTGATCTTAATCAAGCTTTGACTGAAAAAGATATGGCTGAACAAGAAGTAATAACTGCTAAATTGGCAGCAGAAAGAAATGATAGACAGACTAAACAAGAACAAATTAGATTGCAAACGGAAATAAATGCTTACAAACAACGCATGGAAAGAGCAGATGCAGATTTAGTTCATTGTAGGCGTGAAAATTTGAGACTTTTAGAACAAATAGCTTTGTTGGAGAAAGAGGTATTATAAATAAACAAAAATAAATAAATTTATAATTAAAAATAGAACAATTTTGTAGATCAATTTAAATAGAATGATGTATTCTGAAGATTCTCAAAGAAAAGATGTAATCGGTCAAGAGAATAAAAAGGAGACGCCTACGATGAAACTGGACACGGAAACTAAACATGGTAAGAAATAAAAAAAAGAAGATATCGCGCCTGTGTTAGGTATATTGTCTATGAAAAATGTTTCGTCATTTAATATTCGCTTGAAAGCATTCAATGTGTGGGAAATCGGCATGCTGACATTATGCCTAGCATGGGCAGGAATACAGTTAGTCAGTTTATTAAAAATTGCTTTTTGATATTACTGCATTTCTCAGTTGCAACGGTTGGTGATCTAGAGGATGCCTTGAATAAACAAGCTAAACTAGTCTCTCAATTGACTACCGAATGCCAATCTCTCACACAACGTTTGGAAGCTAACAACATTAAGCACAAGTATATTTTTAGCTTTGCATAGACTAAAATTTATTATTATATTTTTCTAATCACATTAAATTTGAATCATAAAGTTGAAATTATTTTATAAAAAGTGTATAGCTTAGGGTTTATATCTCGAGCTATTCTGTGTTGACAGAGGAGATCAATGATGGGGATAGAAGACTTGGAAATACAGCTTCTTCGTCTTCAAACAAGAAACGTATTGTTAAGGTTGATTTGAAAGTTAAAGTTATTCCTAAAAAGAAGTTAGATTCTTCAAAGATGCCTCTATCAACACAGTAATAGAACGTATGTTACTTTTAACAATTATCTTTACCATTATTATGAATTATGTATGAATACTTTGAAAAACCTTACTTTTATTAGGGAAGAAATGGCTGCCCTACAAAGTAACGTAGAATACTTATCGAATAAGATAAAGGATTCATTTCATAATCAAAAAGGTAATCTGTTTAGTCCTTAAAAAATATATATTAACAAATATTATAAAATTTATATCAAAATATTTGAAATGTTAATAATTTTTAGCACAATATAATATTAATGCATCTTATAACTCACCGGATCAATTAAATCAAACGAATGTAATGAATCAAAATGGTAATACAAATTCTCATAATTTACAAAACACAGATTACGAAATAAATCAAATGCAAAATGAAAATGACAATGACAACAGAGAAATTTATTCTAAAAAATTGCAAAAGAAAGATGATTTAGATGAAAGATATGATCACTCGAATCAACATGAATATAATTTAGGAGGCTACATCAATAATAATAATAGTAGTAATAATAGTAATATATATAATGTCGAAGATCAGTCAATGGAAGATAAAAATGAAGAGCAAGAAAAACATTTGACTGACGATCAAAATGTAATAGATAATACTAACCTAATAGAATCTTCTTATGATCAGTATGGAGAATATGATGAGTCACAATATCAAGAACAAGAATTTAAGGATAATGATCAATATAAAGAACAGGATAATACACATGATATGGCACAATATTCTGAACAAGAATATCAGGAAAATCATACTACAATTAGTCCTAGCAACGAATATACACAATAATTTGTATTTCTTTTTTCTATAGCATTTAAACACATTTATTGTATTATTAGAACGTGCAAAAATATTACAAAAAGACATAATAAAATTAGTATTAAAATTGATCCTACACAACATCCATTTTATTTTTCAATATTATATAGAGATTCGTTTTAATTCAAATTTGTATAGTATGGCGGTGAAAGAAAAAGCCAATTAAATCACAGTTGCCTTGATTGTTTGAATTTAAAATGGTATTAATCAAATTTCAATTATTGAATAAAATTTTCATTCTTTTTTTATTTTTTAATTGATAAAAAAATTATTGTTAATGATATTTATTAAATATTAATATTTAATTTGAAATAATTACAGATTTGACTATTTGTAATAAATAATATATGTACGATAATTTAGATTATTAATTGCTAATTTAAATCACTATTGACGTTTCGATTTCTTTTTTGAAAAAAAATGGTCGATAATTTAGATAGTGAACGTGAAAGTGATCAAGAGGATTAAATATTCATGAAATCGAGGACAAAAGGTTACATATTTTAAACTTATATACTTAATTATTACATCGTTTTTGTAATAATAGTCATTTCAGTAAATATTATATCGATATATAATAACTTATTGAAAAAGTTGTTAACGTAACCTTTTTTTTTATTCCAACTATGGATAAACATTTTTATGAATTCATTATTATTATATAGCTTTCAAATAAGTAATATTGATCTCTCTCTTGCATATCTGCATCAAAGTAGAAATATAATTGGTTTAATATTTTGAAAATATTTGTCATTCATTTGTTTTAAATATTAAATTAAAAATTATACAGAGAGATGTATCATTAAACTAACAATCTTTAAATTGGTTAAATTCAACGATGTTACTAACTAGTATGACGCATACATTTCTTCATTGATGTATTTGCAAGAGAAAGAGAAAGAGAAAGAGAAAGAGAGATAAAGGGAGAGGCATCCTTAGCACATATTGCCTTTGACATAATATCGTTATTTCAGAGAAGCTGATTAAGAAGCGCTCGGTTTACGATGTTTGCGGAACATGTCAGTCTTTCTCTGGTCTCACCAATATGCGCATGCACGCTGAAACTACGTGGGAGGAGCTGGAACAGACTTCGAGCAGCTACCAAGGGATCTTCTCTCTGACGCCCCCTCCCTTTATATACAATTCAGGATGGCTATGTATTATTTGCTACGTGTATGTGTCTGTCTGTGTGGACTACATCAATGTAGGTAAGTAAACATCATTGAAACACATTCTCCAAATTAATTTAACAACAAATTATACAATATGTGTTGCATCACAAATAAAACATATTTATTATTTTATATTTTATACCAAATACTACTTTTGATAATATTATTTGTTATGAAATGTAAAATTTTCTTCTAATATTATTATTTTTTTTAATTTTACAGTTATAATACATCCCAGTTATTACTAAAATAAACTCTGTATATATCAGGTAAGAAAATTCGTGTCTTTTTCATTGAACAAAATAATAACAAAATTTTCTTATTTATTTAATATTAACAAAGAATAGACATACATATATATTCTAAAACATAAAGTAATCAAAATATATAATTTTACTAAAAATAAATAAAATTATTTAAGGATTATCCTCGAAACGACACGAACGTTCCCGAACATCATCAAATATTTGCATCAATGAAAATTCGACGATGAATTAAAAAATTCTAGAAGATTATTTTTCTTCAATTTTGAAATCAATTTGTCAGAAGATTTCGTAGAAAATGTTCCGAGGAAATCTCGCATGAGAAATTTCGTTTATACGGTGACTTTTTTGTAGAAGGAAAATCTTCTTCCTCTTTTATATATATATATATATATATTCATATATACCATGCATATACGTATACGTATGCACGTGTATAGTCGTCGGCAAATGAGAAGGGGTGGCCTCGAGGCTTGGAGGCCAGGGGTTGAAGCCATTACCGTCACAAAGCTACCACTAGATTGCCGTTGGGTCTCTCATCCTATTCTCTCTTTCTCCTCCCATTTTCTCTCTCTCTCTCTCTCTCTCTCTCTCTCTCTATACCACTTTATTCTATCTATCTATCTCTGTTACTCCTTTACTTCTTCCCTTTCTCTCCTATTACCTGTTCTTCCATGTCTCTTTTCCTCCTGTATTCTCTTGATTCACCTTACCCGCCATTTTCTTCTCTCTCTCTATCTCTCTCTCTCTCTCTCTTGTTCGCTTGCTTCGTTCGCATTCATGATTTGAATTCAATTGCCTTTTATCTGCTATCCTGGGCTCTGAGTCGCTGATGATAGAATCGTCGAGATCAGAGAATCTGTTACGTCCTATATAGATGTAGATATATTATATATATATTTTCTCTGTCAATCCCTCACTTATATTTCATCCTCTCTCTCTTTTTCTATCTTTTTTTTTGTCCATGTTCATTTTTATACCAAAAGAAAGAAGACTTTTTCCTCCTCCTACCCCCCGTTAATTTCGATAAAGAGTAATTTAATAGAGTAATAATAAAGTTAGTTTGATTTTTAAAATTTTCTAGCAAACACGTTATCGTATTCATATTATAAAATAGAATTCCAATTTGAAGTATAATCTAAGGAATTTGTATTTTTTTTTTCTTTAAATAGAAAATATGTAAGAATGATGTGAAACAAGGTCACGTTTACGATTAGTTAAGGTTTTTGAAAAATCTGATACAATTGTTATATATGAAAAAGATAGAAATATATGAAGTCACAAAGGATTTGAAAGATACAAAGAAATCTAGAGCAATGTTCGTTATTTATACAATGGAAAATGGATGAAGCAGAAATAGAAGCAGGAGAAGAAGATGATGATGAATAAGAAGAAGAAGAAGATGATGAATAAGAATAAGAAGAAGATGATGAATAAGAAGAAGAAAATGGAGGAATTCGTCAGAAATATCGTTTTCGTTTGACAAACGTTTGATCTTTTCTTTTCTTGACCCTGAACACAGACATTAGGAATGATGTCGCGTGGCGTTGACGAATCTGTTTAGTCCTGTAATAATGCCATACCATTCTCATCCCTTCTTTCTTACCGTTTCTCAAAAAGGAGAAAAAAAAATCTACGTGGGTTTAAATTTATAGTTAGTTAAAAAATGTACACACAAGACATGAATGATAAAACTACTGTAAGAGAACAATATCTGCAGAGGTTACGTTCTTTTCCTAAAAAAAAAAGAAATAAAAAAAAAAAGAAAGAAAAGGTTATACAAGAAAAAACGTGTGATGCTGCCGTAAAATGATTAAAAGGATAAAAAGTCAGGAAAAAGGAAGAAAAAAAAATCAAAAGGGGATAAAAAAGGGAAAGGAAAAGGGGAAAGAAAGGAAAGGGGGAAAAATAGCGATAAAAAAAAGAAATAAAAATTTTTCAAGGAAATATGTTTTCTAATATTCAAGAAGTCCTTCATTTGAAATAAAATCAGAAAGTGTGAACGATGTAATAATAATAATACGTGAGATTTTGAAATTCAATCGATAGATACAGTTAAAATCTATAAAAAGAAAAAAGAAAAAAAGTATTTGTGAAGTGTAGAAATTGCTCTGATTTTTCATGAATTTAAAATGTAGACAGAATAGAATGAGGAAGAAGAAAAAAGAAATAAGAAAAAAAAAAGATTAAGTAGCGGTATATCCTTGAAGCCACGCGCCTTTGGTGCATCCAGGCAAGAATTTTATGGTCTTCCATAATGAAGGACTGACTGATACAAGTTTTTTTGCTTTTTGTATTTCGTTCCTCCCCGTAGCTTGTAAATGGTTTCTCTTATTTTCTTCTTTTTTTTCTTGGACCTTTTTTTTTTATTTGTCTATCTCTTTTACTCCTTCCTCTACCGTTTTCATGTTCCCAATAGGATCTATAGGTGACTACTGAGTTCTGATGTCCTATAGTCACGTTTTATATCCACTAGGACAATGTTAAAGTTTAGAAAAATTGCGAAAATCTAGGATTTCCAATAGAAATCGAAATAGAAATCTTGTAATAGTACATAAGGATATTTATGACAATATAATCCTTGTTTTCGATAGTATTTTAATTTTATTATTTCCTTTATTAGGCTCCCGGAGTGTGACCATCGAAAGTGTAGAGAAACGAAACTTCTAAGGGACACAACTTGTATCGTAAGCGTGCCGTTACAAGACTATTTTTACATAAGGTAAGCTTTTTATATAAAATTTATTCATTTATTTGTATCGGACAGTTATTTATTAGAAACAAAATAAGATTAGGAAGAGAAAGTTTTGATCGAGTTTAATTAACATTCATTTATTACTTTGTTTAATATTGAAGCTAAATATTTAAAATACGTTTCTTATACGTTGAACGACGAGATAAATATCATCGTATCGTCCATTTTTTCGTTGACTTCTCATATTAAAAAAACATAATCAAACAGTCGAGTATACATAATTATATTATAAACTATATAGATAGATAGATAGATAGATAGATAGATATTTGACTTTGTATACTTTTTATATCATCTAACACGTAATCTTATTTTATATCGTTTAAATAATCGACATATATAATCATTTCTCAACGACTTGTTCTCTTATCTTGCTATTATAACAAAAAATGATAGTTCAATTATAATTGTATTATATAATATTATATTTAAAATATATAAAATATTATATAACTTATTATATAATTTTATTAATAAAATAATTTATTATAAAATACAAAAATAATATAATTTATTATATAATATTATATTTTAAATATATATATTTAATTTAATTATTATATATTATTATTTAATTTAATATTATTTTAATATTAATATTATATTAATTATATAATAAATTATATAATATCATATATATATATTTATTATTATAAATATTATATTAAACTTAAACCACATTTTGTCGGTAAAATGCAAGTGTAAAAAAAACTACTCCCACGCGGTAGAAGAATATATTTATGCGCTCTAATATCCGGCGAAACGATATATCACGAAACTTTGCTTTTTGTTGAGAGACAAAGAAAAAAAAAAGGAAAATAAAATAAGAGAGGGAGAGAGAGATAGAGAGAATACAATTCTCGCCATAGATAGTGGTCGTGTGGCGTACGTCGAGGATATGACACACGACTATACGACGAGGAGAATACGCGGACAAGGACGACGACGATGAGGATAAGGATGAGGATAAGGATGAGGATAAGGATGAGGATAAGGATGAGGAAGAGAAGGCGACGAGAATACTGCAGAGAAGTGGTGGGTAGGGTGGGGAGAGGGTGTGTACACATAAACGGTGTACGAGCGTTAAAGCGGCTTTGCGCCGATAGCGGCACCTTTGATCTATCCGTTGCGTACCTCAGCACGTCCCCACCCCACTCATTCAACCAGCGATCCCCCACCTCTTCCCTGTCACTGGCATAAAATCGTGAAACGTGCCGACGAAGGTGTCGTACGAGGGCATATAAAGTCGTGTAAGTAAATCTTTCATATGTGTTACATGTGTTTACGTGTGTGTATATGTTTATATCTATCTATCTATCTATCTATCTATGTGTATGATGCGTCTCTCTCATGCTTATCCAAGTCACATAGTGTGTGTGTGTGTGTGTGTGTGTGTGTGTTGGGATATGCGTGTGTAACATGTGCGTGTGCGTGTATGCAAGAACACGCCCGTAACGTATCGAGAAACAGACGACGGAAAAAGCCGATCTATTTATCCTCTCTCTTTCTTTCTTTTTATTTTTCTTATACGATACGATACGGTTACGATACGATACGGTTACGATACGATACGATACGATACGATACGATATTGCCGTTTTTCATTCGCGATCTTATTGTTAGTGTATAACTTCTACAGAGGATATTATTATTCCCATATAACTGCCGCGGTATCGTTTGTGTTTTCAATTTTTATTTTCATAGGGTTTTTTTTTATTTTTTTTTTATTTTATTATAATATCCTTCTATCTTTCGCTTGATCGATCGATCCTTTTATTACCTTCGGATCTTTTACTCTGATCCTTTCTGTTTCCCTTTTTTTCTATTTGTTCTTTTTTTTATTTACATAAATGTATGTTAGATTTACTTGGAAACGTGTTAATATTCAAGGAACACGGATATTTTGTTTATATTTTTATTAAATTTTTTAAAAGAATACACACACAATTCTCTCGTTGTGTTTTCATTTTTAATGATGAAAGAAAAATTGTTCGCATTTTTTAAATTAATTTTGTCATTTGAAAAACAAATGTTTTATTGATTTTTATTCAATTTAATTTATACACACATACATACACACGTGTTTTATTTTCTAGTCACTTCATTGATATTTTTAATCCTGTTCATTCATGTTGGAAATATCGGAAGGACGGCGGAACGTTTGATTTGATTTTTATGTATTTTTTTTTTTATTTGTGATTTGGTAGCTCGAATGATCGTAAGGATTATGATAACACGATTGATAGATAGTGTTCGGTAACAAATGAACTTCCTGTTATAGTTTATCGTTTATTAAATACTCCAAATTATTATTTATATATAATTATTTAGATTACAGTTAAATGCAATCATTATAATAATCATTATCATAATTTTCATCATTGTCGTCATAGTTGTCGTCGGTCGTCGTCTTTGTCGGTTTAAGTTGCCGACGGTATTGCAATTTATACCGATCGTAATTTAAGATACAAAGAACGTGCTTTAGATTTATTATACCTCTTATCAAGCATTGATCTCCATAATGATATCAACTTCAAAAACAAAAAATAATAATAATAATAATAATAATAATAATAATAATATCTAAATGGTTTTAAGAAATATAAGGGTTTCCAAAGAAAAAATCAACTTACATGGAAATAGATTGATTGATCGACACGGTAGCAGGAAAGTGTTAACCTCTGAATCGACAATATTCGATAAAAGTATGATAACGCGTATCGGTTTTACTGTCAGCGAATCATTTATACAGGATGGTGTGATTTTTTTAGATTTGGTTAACGGGTATGAATTCTTACTGCAAAATCCGTTGAAATTTTGTGATAATAAACGGTAGGAAAACGTTTAGAAATTATTTTATAACAATTATTAATAATATTATAAATAAAAAATAAAAAATAGTCATCATGGTTCTTACCTATACATTCTTATAAATAATATATATATATGTATGTATATATTATATATATAATAGTTTATATATTATATATATAA